ACAAGCTTCTGAGATTAGCAAACCAGTGCTATAAATACTCTTTCCATCAAATGAAGCAAAATAAAGATCAAAGCCTACTATGTGCTGAAGAACAGCTGAGAAGGGTCTTTATTGATTACGAAGATCTTGTTAAAGATCTGATTTTGCAAGGTGGTCTACATACATACTTTCTCCAGATGAGTTTGAGATGTTTGGTCAGATCTTGCCACTGATAGTGGCAGAAGGAAGTTTTACAGTTTTGCCATGGCGACTTTAAGTGAGTTATACTTGCAAAAAGAAATTTGTCATTAAATGAGAGCTCTGTTTTCTTAACGTATATGGGATTCAGTTGTGAAATTCAGTGTCTTTATTTTTGATTCGACTGAGTTTGGGCCCTAATAGAGGGCTAAGCAATTCCTGAAGCAGGACCTAATTGTTTTGTTTGTCCCACTCTATACAGGGAGGCTCAACTTAGTACTACTTACTGCTCAGGTATGCTTGCAACGGGGAAATTCCAAGCAGTTAGTAAGCGCATCCATTCCCACTTCCCATCTTTGACTTCTGTCTCTCACTTTGTACTGCTTTGGGTGCTTTTCCAGAGTCCAAACCATGAGACAAATCATCTAACAATAAAATAATCATAGGAAGTGAAGTTTTCTGCTGGAGTAAAGAGCTAAGTCAGCTCAGCAAAGATTCCAGCAGAAAGGAGTGCAGAGAAGAAAGCAGTGGGACTGCAAAGAAGGGAGGAGAAAGGGAAATTCAGCCCTTTCCCTTTCAATAGCAGTGAGTTGTTAGATCAGCTTAGTACCCTGAAGAACCACAGCACAGAGGCTGGGCTCACTAGGCAGTATCTCTCCATGTTCCACTCCAGCTGCCTGCAGGATCACTGCACCATTTATTAGGAATAACGATAGAACTTTTGATGCTCTGAGCAGAAGAAATAGGGCAGACCAATTAAAAAGATTTAAAAAAAGAAAAAAAAAAAAAGAAAAGGCAGACCAAAAGAACCCTGACCACACTCAACCTTTTGAAAGACTTCTAAAATCCTGTTCTCACCAATGCTGAGACTGCCAATTAGCATTAACCACATCTCTAGTACCCAGAACAAAAGTGATATTTTGACCATAGAGACAAATATATGGACTTTTTTTACATGGACTTTTTTTTTTTTTATATATTTTATAAGAGGAAAAAATCCCCTAATGTTACACACTAACCAAAACCACAGATGTTATAGAAAGTATTTCCCCTTTTACAAAGAGGGGAAAAAAGGCAGTTATAAGTGAACTGAAAAGGATTTAGTGGCACCTCATCACAGCCATAAATAAAAATTTAGAAATCAAAGTATTTGATGCTTCAAAAACAAATAAATAAATATAAGGATAGTAAAAAAATAAAATAAAATTAAATTAAGCTTAAAATTGGCTGGCTTCTCAAATTGAATTACTAATAGTGTATTTAGTTCCTTACTACATAAAGCTAGAAATAAGCTCAAACTAGAAATTCATCATAGTGTGATTTTTAGAAGAGAGATTTTTACATCTCAATTAAAAAAATTCTTGTGAGACTGAATGACATGTGTTCACTTTACTACAAAAGAACTAAGAAAATAAATGTTACTGTTTCAATTAAGATTAAAACATTAATTTTAACAATCTGCCAACTTCACCCTCTTTGCTCTGTCTTCTTCTGAACAATTTCCAAATCCATTAATTTAAAGATGTTGTCAGCTATTCTAAGGTTTAAATCATTCTAAATGTATTTTTAAACCAAGATGTCATTTCTTGTATAGATCTCTATCTTGTTTTCCTTCAGGAAAAGAAGGAGGGGGGGAAATGAAATCACTAGAAAAATGATAGCCATTAGCATTTTTGTCCAGAAATCTGATCCATTATTTATTAAAAGTCATTACAAATCTCATCACTGATTTCAAATGAGTTACTGCTGGGGTCTCTGTTCATCTGTGGGAAATTAATACAGAATCAGTGAAACAAAACACTACTTTGCTTCGTATGATTCTAAATAGCTCATGAAAATGTGAAAACAAAGGACTGACAAAAAATCCTGTAAAATGCTCCCACGTTAATATACAGTTCCCACATGCACCTTAGCTCACAATGCACAGCATTTATTGTTTGATATGCAATGCTTTAATAAAAAGAATTAAAATGTTACTGCATTCAGCTCTAATTTTTTGATACCCAACAAATAATCTTTATGGAGAAAAAAAGATACCCAGTTAACTTCTCAGAACAAAACTCACTGAAACACGAAGTTCAGAGCAGTGTAAGTTGAAAACTACATTAAAAGGAGAATAATCTCTTTTAGAGCAGAAACCAGGAAGCTAGGTACTGTTGTACAACCAGTACAGATTCTAAATTAAAGGTCTAAATTTATGGGTCAGAAAATTTACTGTTTTCAGTAAATATTTTTTTATATGCTGAACTTACTTCTCATAAATAATGCTTACTATCCCTTGTTTATCCCAGTTCAATATGCCTGAGATGACATTTAAAACCTCTCAGACTCAATTTAAAGCTATAAAAGTGGTTTTTGCTCATACTGTGCTAGGTTTGATGTGCTGAGATTTAAACTACCATGAAATCCGCATAAATGTAGGGTCCGATTCTTTTTATACGTATTCTTAGTCAGCATAAGGATTCAGTGAAGGACAATAATCAAATGCACTTTATTTAGATTTCTTTTGCAAGAGAATTGAGGGAATATAGTAGGGAAAAAACAGAAGCAGTTTTGCTTTAATTACTGTTGTTATTTGTGATCTCTTCCATTTAAAAAACAAAGCAGAATTAAAGTTCGAGGCTTTTTTTCCTTTTTTTTTTTTTTTAAATAATATTTTACCCAATAAGTACCTCCAGCTCAACTCAATTTTTTAAGTCAACTTTAACAACAATATTGGGGGGGTAAATAGACTGGTGAAAAACCCATAAATCTGCACTTTGTGTTTATTTAGAAACTCAATTGCTATTCTGGGGCTAAAATAAACTTTCCTTTTCAAAAATAGCCTTCAAGAGCCAACACAGCAAATGAGTGAAGCACAAAGCTTACAAAGATTTCATCTGATGAACAGATGAAATTTAAGTGAAACACCTTCTCTCAGAATGAGGTTCTCAAAGTCACTGAGACTAGGCTTGCTGAGACAGGGTTATAGGAATGCTTGCAAAAGCCAGATTACAAGGAAACAAGGAAATTTATAAAGGACATTAGAGAACATGCAGCTCATTTTTGATGGAAGAGATATTTGTTATAATTCCACCTCTTGATAAGGAAGAGCCAAAGCCCAGCTACTCATCTGCTCTCCAGCCTCAGCATTTGACAAGAAAATGGGATTTTTTTAGAAGAGTGCAGAGGGAGCAGTGAGGGGCAGTTTACAGAGACTGCAGCTCATGTTGTTGTAGAGAAACTTCGAAGGCACAAGGCAAGGTATGACTTAGCCATAACTACATGTGGCAAGGTGTGCACCATCTACTAACCCCAGGGAACATATTTTTCCTTATGGTGGGCACTCATTCAGATGCTAAAATGATTCATAGTAAAAATGTTCGTTTCAGCAATATTTCAAGGAAAGAAGAGAAAGTACCTCCTCAGGAACATCTACAGCTGTTTTTGAGCAGAAATGGAAAACCAGGGAGTCATGAATAGGGAGGCACTGAATAGGCCTTTAGAAACACTGGATGACAATGAAAGGGATGAGGGAGAAAAGGCACTTGGTTCACTGTTCAGGGTTTAATTATACAAAATTTGCCATCACTGGTTAACTATAATTAGAATTATGTCTTAGCATCAATCCAGCACATATAACCCAACCTTCACAATGCCATGCCTGTATCATTTCAATGGTACTTAAGCACTTAATTCCTTAAGAGTTCTTTTAAGATTTCTGATACAATGGCATCAAGTACAAAAAGCCCCTACGCTTAACGTCTTCCTCATCTAGCTAGATGCCTGAGAAACTGTTGTTTTCCAGTCCAGAGACAAATGTATGCAGCTGGTCAGATGCTGAAGCTCAGTTTCACCCCAGAGGGCAGATTAATGGATCTGATAAACTCATTCTCTATGAACGAAAAAAGCTGCTTCCAGGCTGTCACCAAATTCACAGTGATGGACACTTGGATTGTAGAAGGTAGCACTGGCTACTCAATTACTTAGCTTTATCAACTGCCACACACGGTATGCCACAGCAGTGAAAACAGAAAACAGGGGGATGGAGAATAAACATAATTACTTGAGCGTCAGGACTTCATCAGGCTGGAGACTGAGTCACCGCCATCTCAGTATTACAGAGGAGTATGAATTCTAACCACTCATCACTACTAAGGAAGCAAGGTGCAGGAATTACTCTTACAAGCAGTTATTAGAAGATTTGGGATTATATACTGAGCAAACCTGCAGACTAAAATGACCATCAAAATAAAAATAATGCTTTTTTTTGAGTATGACTGTGCATCAAAGATGGTATGAAGGTGAAAAGTATAAGCAAATGGAAGTGATATGCATAAGAAAAGTCAAAATATCAGAGGTCTTCAAAACAAAATAATACTTTCTTTATGGATTCTTCACAGTGGCATAAGATTTCTTAGCATAAGCCTGTTCCCAGATGCAAGCAGCTGCTACACGTACTTTTTTTTCCAGGAAACACATGGTTAGAAAATTACACTCCTAATTTTAGTGAAGATGAATATTTTAAGGCCATCCTGAGTGAAATCAGAATACAAATACTAAAACTGGCTTCTGTGTAACCTTATACAATGTGACAAGCTGTTGCTTGCACTAGCATTGCAGAGAAAGCTTTTAAGACCATGCATATTTCAGTGTTGGCCTAGCTGCTTTTTGCAAAATTCTAGTTGTATGGCTTACGTCAAATGGCAGAGTGGGGAAGGGAATGCTGTTTTATTTATTAACCACCACTTTTACTATAGATTAAATCAAACTAGTAACCGGGAACTTCAGATAAGCGTGAAGCTAGGAAACAAGAACACAAATTGAAGAGAGATCCAACTTACAATTAAGTCTCGAATAAGTGAAACAGAAAGTATCCTCTTGATGCCATTTTCCACAATTACTCCAAGACAATTAAGCGCTCCCCAGTACCACAGATAGCTCTGTCCTCCGTGCCAATAGCTTACAAAGGCAAAAGTGAGGACTGTGGAAAAAATCATTCCTGGCAGACTGGACTGAGATCCTCCCATTGGAACGTAAATGTACCTGTAGGTGAAGTGACAGATAAGCAGTGTTATTATGGCTTTCATAGAAATCTCAGAAAAACATCCACTGCCGAATAAATTCATTTTGCAGCATAAAAGAAAAATAAAATAAAATAATAATTTTACTAATTACCTGTCATTCTATATTTACATTGCCTGCTCCAGTTTTTGCAAAGCTGTAGACCACTCCATGAAATATGCACACATACCATTTGGCAAAAAGGCAATTTTGTGGTCAAGGAAACTCGGCATTAGGCAAGTGTACAGGATAAACTATATTCTCAAAATTGCAAAAGATGTTCAGGTTTTTTAGACTGTGGTAGTAGTAAGCCAACTTGTATACACAAAAATTACAAATAATCTTTGGGAGAACTTAAATTGTAAGACTTAACAATAAAATGTAAAAAAGTCTGTAGAGTCATATGTAGTCATAACCCACAAAATGTTTTCCATTTTTCAGAAATGTAGACACATGCAAACATACTTTATTTTTAAAAGCTTCAAATTTCTGTATCTTTAAATCTTTTATTAAAAATTGTATTTACTGAAAATATCTTCTACCCAGTTCTTGTGTTACATTCGCAAGATCTCCTCTGCTAATGACCTTCACAACACATGTACCACCCTCCTGCCCCAAAATACCTGTATGAAAAACCCTGCATGCAATTATATTTTGGATTGAAACTGAATCCAGGAGACAGAAGCTGAGTCTTTAATTGATGCTTGTAAGTGTCAAGAAAGCAGTACTCGTTCAACAGAAGCACCAGCAGCAATGGGACTCTGAAAGCTGACACTGTTTTCTGGGTCACTTCACTTTCCTGCCTGCCTAGAGGGCTACATCCACTTCTGGCAGTTGCAAAATAAGGCATGGCGACTGCTCAGCCTTTATTTAAAAAGTTGCATATTTCTGTCGACACTTAGGGGAAGCTCATCAGGCAGCGGAGACACCACTCTGCCCATGAGCACCAGCGAGGGGACGCAGTATGAGAGAAGTGCCAGAGACAATTCCCTCTAGCTGTCACTCCTTCGACATAGCACGCCGTAGTCTCGTGTGAGACTATTCCTACTTGGTAAGATAATTAAAGGATATTTTTTCTCCACTGAAAATTTCATCGCTGGTTTTCAGGTTTTTACATTCAGAGACAAAGATCAGCTCAAAGATTTTAAAGGGAAATTAATGTAGTGCTTTATTCTTAACCTTTGGAAGTAAAATACCGTATCGGGGAAAATAAAGTGATGAGAGTAATTACGATGTACGTGGAAAAGTCATTCAAAGAAACCCTTTCAACTGCTCCAAATCCTCTCTAAACATAATATCAATACACCTTTTACCTCCACCTGCTACAGGGAACATCTGATTACGTTTATAGCGATTTTCAGTGTAACTGTTTTTTTTATTAAGCATACAAACATAAAGAGAAACTAAAGTCAATAGTTTTTATATATGTTGTGTTTCTCTTCTCTCTCCCCTCCCTGTGTTGTTGTTTTTCCTCTCATCATACATATAAGAACACAGTGTAGCAATAACACATACTTGCAGCTGAAATCAGTGGGTCTAACTGCAGAGAAGCATGCCATAGCAGCCTGTAAGCAAAGAGATCCCCTCCAGCGCTCTCCCTGGGATCTGACATGCAGGATGATGAGAACAGAGCCCCAGACTGCTGCTGCAGACATCTCGTAAACGGCCAGACAAATTCCTTCTACTCCAATGACTACGAAGACGAAAGACCAAGGAAGATCACCTCTTAGGACCTCCTTACACAAAGCCTCCTTTCTCCCTTTTCAAAGGCTGGTTGCTGGATTTTCCAGGTAGGGTCAGCTGTAATAACTCAGTTCCTCTTGCAGGCTGTTCCTCACAGAACCACGATCCCCTGAGCAGCCTCCCTCCTGCCTCCCCAGCACAGCACCTCCTGGTTCCAGAAAGGTTCACCCACAGGAGCCAAAATGTGACACTGCAGATGCTGCCACCCTCAGCAAAGCTCACCACGGTCATATATTTACTGAAATGCCATGTTTAAAAGTAACCCAGATGCCATCAGAGAGGACAACTCTCTGCGACAGACACCTTACTCTAAGCCCCGAGGAAATATTTCTACTGACCTCAGAGGGCACTGAATTAAATCCACTGTGCAAAACGTAGCCTTCACTGCAGAAGCAGCTCTGGGTTTCTGTATGATCCCTTTCCCTGAACTGAAGGACAGAAGCTGTGGCGTAGGCATTGGCCATCTTGTGAGCACACGTAGTCTGTCACTGTCTGTCACTGGGACTGGCACTGCCAGGAATGGGCCCAGCAGCACCAGCTTATTCATTTGCAATTGTAGTTCATTTTAGATCGGCCTGAATGGCTTTCAGAGCATTCTGCAGAGAAAAATAGGCTATTTGCTGATTTTTAGTGTTTAATGACAGCAGTTAGTTAATTGAGCAGCACTAATTCAAATCTTGGTGAATCTTCAAGGTCAATGAAGTTTTAGCTCCTGGCAAGGCCCATGGCAATCGTGCAATTGAAAATTTCCTTCCACTGCCCTTGAAAAGACCCGTTCACAGAAGAACAGAAGCCAAATGGAGCCATGAAATCTTTGTTAACCTTTCCATCCTCTAGTGTGGGGATTCTGCCTCCTTGCCTGATGGAAAAATGCATAGCAAAAAGCAAAGCCTCTCTCCCTCCCCTCCAGATACCAGAAGAAAACAGAAGCAGGCTGGCAGCCACTTCTTGTCACAAGGCCACTAACTGCCTTCAGATCGTGTGTTTGTGCCTTCGCTTGGCAGGGCGCCCACTGGCAATTTTCAAGTAGGTATAAGAGGCTGATGAATGTTGAGTCATTTCTCTCAAGCAGTGTGAAGAGCAATTCTGTATGTCCTTATGTTATTTACACAGGAAAAAATTGTGCAAAATCCATTATTACATTACAGAACCAGCTTTGGTTTGGCATCAGAGAAAAAAAATGTACATGCTACCTCCTCGTACACACACCTCATACCCAAGCTGCATACCAACCTTCACAGTCTTAAGCGGACAGGCCTGGATACAAGCAAGTATGCAACTCAGACACTGTGCAGCTGGGGCCAAATCCTTACCCCATGCCAGCTACTTTGTGTTCTCTGTTAAAGCCAAAATTGTCTCGTTAAAGAACTGCAACAAGAGCCTTTTTCATTACAAAAAACACATCTTGCTTATTTTTGAGCATCATGGTAGTTTAGAATCTAATTTCTCAATACTTCCCCTGTGATTTTGGCATAGAAAAGTACTCATCTGATTACAGAAAGCTATATTTACGCTAAAGGTAAGTGTGAGAGATAATAAAACAGTGAATAGCATTATTAAGCCAGAAAACAGAAGAAATGTATTCATTCTGTGTTATCATTTATGACATAATATATGCTTTGTAAATAACAATTATGCCTCCAACAAGTAGAATAGCACAAATTGTTTAGAAGACACTTTTTCTGCAATTGTTTCAACCTAAGATGGTTCCTGGCTGCTCTTGGCTTGGACTGGCGCACGCTTCGTTGGGTTAGAAACTGGCTGGATAGCCGGGCCCAAAGAGTTGTGGTAAATGGAGCCAAGTCCAGTTGGAGGCCAGTCACTAGTGGCATCCCCCAGGGCTCGGTGCTGGGGCCGGTCCTCTTTAACATCTTCATCGATGATCTGGATGATGGCACTGAGTGCACCCTCAGTAAGTTTGCAGATGACACCAAGCTAGGTGCGTGTGTCGATCTGCTCGAGGGTAGGAAGGCTCTGCAGGAGGATCTGGATAGGCTGCACCGATGGGCTGAGGTCAACTGTATGAAATTCAACAAGGCCAAGTGCCGGGTCCTGCACCTGGGGCGCAATAACCCCAAGCAGAGCTACAGGCTGGGAGAGGAATGGTTGGAGAGCTGCCAGGCAGAGAAGGACCTGGGAGTGATGGTGGACAGTCGGCTGAATATGAGCCAGCAGTGTGCTCAGGTGGCCAAGAAGGCCAACGGCATCCTGGCTTGTATCAGAAACAGTGTGACCAGCAGGGCTAGGGAGGTGATCGTCCCCCTGTACTCGGCTCTGGTGAGGCCGCACCTCGAGTACTGTGTTCAGTTTTGGGCCCCTCGCTACAAGAAGGACATCGAGGTGCTTGAGCGGGTCCAAAGAAGGGCGACGAAGCTGGTGAGGGGCCTGGAGAGCAAGTTCTATGAGGAGCAGCTGAAGGAGCTGGGCTTGTTCAGCCTAGAGAAGAGAAGGCTCAGGGGTGACCTTATTGCTCTGTATAAGTACATTAAAGGAGGCTGTAGTGAGGTGGGGGTTGGCCTGTTCTCCCATGTGCCTGGTGACAGGACGAGGGGGAATGGGCTAAAGTTACGCCAGGGGAGTTTTAGGTTAGATGTTAGGAAGAATTTCTTTACTGAAAGGGTTGTTAGGCACTGGAACGGGCTGCCCAGGGAGGTGGTGGAGTCACCATCCCTGCAAGTCTTCAAAAGACGTTTAGATGTAGAGCTTAGGGATATGGTTTAGTGGGGACTGTTAGTGTTAGGTTAGAGGTTGGACTCGATGATCTTGAGGTCTCTTCCAACCTAGAAATTCTGTGATTCTGTGATTCTGTGAAATGAAACGGTGCGCCCCTTCAGCTCAAGAATAAGGCATTACATGTGCTAGTAGCTGAAACACAAACCCCAAAAGGACAGCAAGGAACCCACCTCTCCTGAGGTTTCAGATGAGATTTCTGGACATGGAAGAAAGCAAGAATCAGGTCCACCTTCCCCGTGTCCCTGGGTTAGTACTTCATTAACTCTTTCAGATACAAGAACCCTTCCCTAGGATCAAATTCAGCTGAGGATGCTTTGACATACAAGCATGACGCCGGTATGCAATACCTTCTTTACCCTTGTGTCTATCCCCTTCCTTCTAAAAGAGAGCATGGAGTCTTTACACTCACTGTGGCACCCAGAATCTTCAATAACTGGAGACGGCTGAGATTTGAACAAGAGAAGTGGGATGGGGAAGTCTCTTACTGTGTGTTAGATAATTGGTCC